CAGTGCTTGTTGTGTGAGCTTGCTGATCTCTTTTGATTTGCTGATCTTGTTGATCTTGTTGCGTCCGTGCCACACAAGGGCGTGTTTTCGCATAGTCAGCTGGGACTGAATCGTGAAAAATTTGAAACCTGTGAAACCTAAAATATTGAATCTTGAACTATCTTGCGATGACGGGGGTGCGGATCAGTGCGGAGGGGCTGAAATGCCTGCTTGTGCATTGAACGGGCATGGTGTCCTCGAGGAGGTGAGTAACTGCTCTCACGCGCTCACATTGTCTCCTTAAATGTTGCGTCAGCGGCAGCTGGTAATGTGGCCCGAGTGACTGCTCTCACGCGTTCACATGTCTCCTTAAATGTTGCGTCAGCGGCAGCTGGTAATGTGGCCCGAGTGACTGCTCTCACGCGTTCACATTGTCTCCTTAAATGTTGCGTCAGCGGCAGCTGGTAATGTGGCCCGATGACTGCTCTCACGCGTTCACATTGTCTCCTTAAATGTTGCGTCGCAGCATGGTAATGTGGCCCGAGTGACTGCTCTCACGCGCTCACATTGTCTCCTTAAATGTTGCGTCAGCGGCAAGCTGGTAATGTGGCCCGAGTGACTGCTCTCACGCGTTCACATTGTCTCCTTAAATGTTGCGTCAGCGGCAGCTGGTAATGTGGCCCGAGTGACTGCTCTCACGCGTTCACATTGTCTCCTTAAATGTTGCGTCAGCGGCAGCTGGTAATGTGGCCCGAGTGACTGCTCTCACCGTTCACATTGTCTCCTTAAATGTTGCGTCAGCGGCAGCTGGTAATGTGGCCCGAGTGACTGCTCTCACGCGTGCGTCAGCGGCAGACTGGTATGTGCCCGAGTGACTGCTCTCACGCGTTCACATGTCTCCTTAAATGTTGCGTCAGCGGCAGCTGGTAAATGCGGGCCTTTCATCTCAAATAAACGCCCTTACGCCATTGTGCGTCGTTTGCCACAATGATTGTGAAGAGTGTGCTGACAGCTCTGGATAGAGTACAGCAAACACGTTTGGAGATGTCAATGGTGCGTTTAATAATAAGCAAAGAAGTTTCATGTCATTTGTTGCATCGAATAAGTCCTTTGGGCTGGCTGCAGCTCCAGCCACGGTCTAGATTATGGGGCACTGCCTGGAAACAGCGAGGCATGGGCCAGAGACGGCCAACTGCCCCAACGAAGCCGCATTAGCATTCATATAGGAGGCTTTCCGTCTTAGCAGTGCCGCAGGGCTCCGTGCGCCAGATGTCGCATGCCCCGAGGATTGGAACCTGAGCACAGCCTCGCAGCCGGTCACGTGGTCACGTGCCCATTGCGTGCATGTTGCAAGATACGTCGCTGGAAATATTTCCACACGTTCGCGAACAAACGCTGCCCCCACCCGTCCGCCCCCAGTTTTTCAACCAAACGTGTAAGACGAGTATTTTGTGCATGACCTTTCTCCAAATTTGAGTTCTAGGTCCATAACTTTGTGGCCAAAATCCGGAAAGAAATCTGTTGGTTGTGTTTTTCAGGGAAAGGTTGAGTCATTTTTTGCACTTAAGCCCCCCCCCCCAAGTTATTTTATGAAGCAACAACTGCGCTCGACTGTTTCCCAGCCGGTGACACCCGGTGATGATTTTTCGGATTTATACGACCGACCAGACCAGCTACAGCGACATCGTGCCGGCGCGTAGTCCGTAATTCGCCCACAGTGCGAGAGCCAGTGGCTTTAGAGTATTTGCACCACGTCCGTGGTGTATTTTTAGGAGGCCATGCTTACATACCTTGGCATTTCAATAAACACAGGCAGCAGAAGCCTGGTCGTCGGCCGCGCTCGCTCAGGGCCACAGGCCGCGCACAGGTAGCGGAACCCCGGTCGTCGGCCGCGCTCGCCCTGGGACAGAGGCCGCGCGCGGAGCGACACGGAAACGCCCAATTATAGGCTTTTCAGACCGTGGCCGGGTGATGCGCATGCGCGATGTGGGGACAGGTGAATGACCTAAAACGGCTCGTTACGGACTTGAACCATGTACATCGTGGGGGCGACTATTCTGAGCACTCTGGGCTCTGACCTCTCGTGGGTAGCTTCCGGGAGAGGGCGTGAGAGCAGGCGGGCAGGGCTAGGAGCACTGCGATCCTCCCTGAGTTGGGTCCTTTAAAGCTGCCCAGACTGCTTCACGTTGAATTTGCTTCTTACGGACTCGCGTGTTGGCTGTTGGATCACTGTAACTGCTTCGCTTGTTGGTACAATGCCTGCCTGTTAGCGCCTTTCAGAGCGTGGAAGTAAAGCGGCGAAGCGTAAATGGCATCAGCAGTAAACCTCCAGACCGGCTTCACTCGACAGTAAACCTCCAGACTGGCTTCACTCGCCAGTAAACCGCCCGACTGGCTTCACTCGGCAGCAAACCTCCAGACCGGCTTCACTCGACAGTAAGCATCCAGTCCGGCTTCATTCGGCAGTAAACCTTCAGACCGGCTTCACTCTGCAGTAAACCTCCAGACTGGCTTTACTCGGCAGTAAACCTCCAGGCCGGCTTCACTCGGCAGTAAACCTCTAGACCGGCTTCACTCGGTCAGGCGTGTCCTGACGTGCACTGCACATACGCGGTGAGGCGATGCCTCCCCCTGATGCTCCGTGGGGGGGGGGGGGGCTGCTCCGCAGTGACCGCTAAATGCCCCTGATGGGACTGTCCACCCTATCCTCATGGCAAGCGGGGCGAGAGATTGAGTCGCGGCGGGTAGTCGAGTGCGCCCACTAGGTGTGGCGGCGATTCGGCGATGACAGCTGGCGCGTCACGCCAGTCGACGACGTCACAAATGTACAGCAGATGGGGGGCAGGGCCGCACCACGTCTCTGTGGTCTGACGTCACCTGACGTTTAGCACGGCCGCTGCCACCGGTCGCAGGGCATGCCTGTCAAAAGCGATTATGTTGGACAATCTGTGAACTACTATTTCATCGGACTCTCACTCATCGAGCGCAGCGGAAAAAGTAGAAAACGCACTGTGACGAGAAACAGACGTGTGATCTATGAGCGTGACTCAAACCTCGCGAGGCCGTGAACGCATTATAACATCTGTCTCCCGCACGTCACAAACGCGGTGGAATATGACAGCTGCGTGGACACCACCTCACAAGCAGTAACCGTGGTTGCCAGGAGACGCCGTGGAGAAATAAGTGCCGCTAGCTGAAGCACTCAGGGTTTTTAGTACACGCTTCTTGCGCCGGCGGCCGAAGCAGACTCAACGGGGCAGCGATCGGTATGTATTTTGGACTGTACTGGTGTTCTTTATCTCAGAATCGTGTTCTTTGAAAGTCGAAAATCAGCAAATCAGCACTAATCGTTTTCAAGCGCCCGGCCTCAGCATCCCGATGCTACGGCTGCAATCCACCGATTCCATTCCATGTCATTCTATTCCATTGACAGCTGACCCAGTTCACGAATGAAGTTATTTGTGAAGTCCACGAATTGTTATTTGGCAATTGTCAGCGCATCACGTATGCGTTTTCTCCTCACATGTCCTGCCTGGTCCAGCCGGGCTTTCTTTTAGGAAAGAGGAGCACAATGCATTTTGGTTGCATGTTTGAATGCCTAGCTCAAAGCTTTTTTTGCTCCGTTTGTAGTGAAATAGCAGCAGTTTCTCGTTTGCATGTTTCTTGCATGCCAGAATAACTGAAATGATTTCAGCGGACATTTGGACGTTACATTTGACTCGCACTTCTGCGAGCAAGCCGCCTTCGATCCAGAGTTGAGCACCATGCACATTATGCATCACACTTCTTATTATGACGTCAAGTGCTTTTGACACGCGTCTGACACGTGTAAAGAAATGTCTTTGTGCACAGTTATCCATGTGAACAGGCCGTTAGTGCCTCTTTCGTACAAGCGTTGCTAAGCAACGTTCGTAAACAAATCGACCGATGGTGCTGACGGAAGACAGTGTACCGTGTTCAAGGTGTTGTTTTAGGCTCGTTCGTCGCACAGTAATAAATTTAGATGCCGTAAAAATACCAAAACGTAAACATTTTTGTTTCGTGTTAACGTAAGTCAATACCCATATTCTGTTGTCTTTTTGCGTGCAATGGTAGCACATGCAACCATCGGTCATCGTCATTGTTTACCGTCGGGCTCTGTATGTTTTTCGTGGGTTAGCTCCCAGAGCATTTATCTGCAAAAGTAAGGCCAGTCCCAGCGGATAACGCACTACGTATGTGTATATCAGATGTTAACGATGGCTTTACACAAGAGAACTGCTAGAGAAGAAAATAAGTCCGGACGTTGCCCGACCGATTTTTTTCCGGTTTAATGATACGTGCTTAGTATAGCTTTTTGGCCACTGCCGTTTTTAAGGGCGCTATTTCGAAATGAAATGTGTTTTCTTGTTATTTGTCTGACCTTCACGAGTGATATCACAGTCCTAGGAAAAACCTGTGACCTTCTATGCCATGTCAATCAACGAATGAAACTGGATTTTCAGATCGCTAGCCACCATAATGAGGTCGGGAGCTCGGACCTGGTGTTAACATATGGGTAGCAGGTACGTGAATGACCACGAGTCAAGCATCCGACGACTCCCCTGTTACCAACTGACGACGGCAGGTGGAGTCATTTGGTGAGCAGGTACGTGAGTGACCAAGCGTCAAGCATCCGAAGATTCTCCTGTGACCAACTGACGACGGCAGATGGAGTCATTTGGGGAAAGTAAGCGTGCAAATTAACGGCCTCACGTCCCCAAACGTTCGCGCAGCCGTGCCTTTGTTTTATGCGTAACGTTATGTGATGGAGGTGCCGACATCGGCTGTCGCCGTTGTAAAATATTGAGTCTTACATGTGTGTCTGTCTCGATTTTAAGGACTTCCACGGAATATGTGTATTTGACGTTCCTGTACGTAATATATGTACGTACGTAATAGTGTCGTTAGTGTCAATGTTGTCGTTTGCTAATTGGGCGTGACGGCTTCACCATTTAACTTTTTAATATCCCTTGTTCTAAGCTCATTGGCATTTTCAGAAACTGTGATGTTTCGCTCACTCGACGCAAATACATGAGCTTCTGAATTATCACACCGGAGACAATGACGGAAATGTTCATTCTTCCAGGTAAGCCACATGCGTTTTATGCATATCACAAAAACAGCATGCATACATCTCCGCACGGCACACCTTTGCACGGGGCGTGGTTGCACGTCCCCTCTATTTCAAACCATCTCTTCTCGTGCGGATGGCGTGGTCACTAAGCACTCCATGGCGAGTCTATTACCCAGCGGGGTAACTTTGGACCACTGCATAACGCCCAGCGCCGGTCCGAGCCACGGAGAGACCCAGACGGCGTCCACGAGTGTGCCTCCCCGCGAGCCTCTTATGCAGACTCCTTTCCAATGGCTGGGTTGGGAATGGCTCAGACTGCTAATGCAAGGATTTTCGGGGATATGATGTGCAAGCATATGATCGCGGTGCAAGGAAAGAGGACACTTGGGGCGTGCATAATTTGAGGACACTTGGGGCGTGCATAATTTGGCCTTGCGATGGCACGAAGAGTCACAGGGAAGAGCACACGGGAAAGAGCTTCCGGTACCTGCCGGACAGTGAGAGACAACCCGGACATCGGGACGGGCATTCTTGACTCGAGCCATCTGAAGCTGTGGAGCACTCCCGCGTGCATATCATACCAACCGAATTTGTAAACGATGGCACTTCCATCTCGCTGCAACCGGCCATCTGGCTCAAATTTCTACAGATGTCCGATTCTTTTGCGATGGGTGGCTGCTGTGTTACTACGTCATCAGCAGTTGGCGGTGTTTTTCAGATGATCCGCCCGACATCAAGCCCGACCCGGACTCATTGACGGCACTGGCCGGCAGCGCCCTGGTCGACAATCCTCGTGCGTACGCTCCCTCTCAGGCTGGCATTTTCCACATTTACATTGGCCCTGCCCGTATGCATAGCACGAGCATACCGCTAATAGCTAATGCACAATAATACTAAGCCTTTAAAATATACCAAAATCAGCGGCGTGTGGTCCGCCTTATTCGGCACAAGCCGCGTCATACATTGCAGAACACACGGGGTGCACTACTTAACACACTTGTCACTGAACACCCATTAGTGTTACGCAGCACATGCTCACGTCCCTTGGGAGAGCGTTCAGCGACTGGTGAGTGGCGACAACTCCAACAGCAACAACCGGGTGGTCGCCCGAACCAGCAAGTTGCAAAAAAGAAATGAGGTTTCTCCTTTTTAATGTTATTCTTTGTTATTCTAATGTAATTCTGCTACACTAATGGTCCAAAAAACTGACGAACAGCGAGCGACGAGACATGTGGCATTTACGCTTCTTTATTCATTTAAGGCTCCGAAACATCCTGGCTTTAACTTCTACCATAGTTTCACCATTATTCTCCCGCAGCGGTAATGTGAAGGCCAACATTTGAGCTGTTGCTGCTTAGTCATCGAATAGGAAAAAAGAACAAACGAACTGTTGACCTAGGATAGGCGCCAAAATTTTGCACATGTGCAACTCACCATACATGTTCCTGATTTCTCCTCGTTGATGTTATGATGCTACACGATAAGAAATAAGCTGGCAAAACGGTCTACCTTCCCCAAACTCCATACAGGATCTTTCACTACGGACTTCGAGTACAGCGTGCGTGAGATAAATGTCACAGTGATTCTGTGTTCCTAACCGAATTCTTTAAAAGGGTTCCTGAAAGTGGTCGTCGTTCTTTGAGCAACTGTAACGGACTCTTAGAAAGCTCGTAATGCAGAGCGTCTCGTTTGCAGGTGACGTGCTTGATACCAAGGCTGACATCAAAACAGAGCCATGCTTCGGGGACCCTGTTTCTTCCTCACGTGAGATTGGTAAGTGTGTTTGTCACGAGCTTTTCATTTTAGAAATATGCGTGTGCCTTGATCCGCTATGGCCGTTTTGCACAAAGCCGTATAGCGTCTTGCACCACTCATCTGACAGCCAGGGGGCTGAAAAGCTGGCACACTAAGGCATCATGATGAAACTACATCAAATTCATGCAAATCGCTTTCCATCTCAAGTGCTTGTCAATGTGAAGGATATCATAACCATGTACCCAACCTATTCGATAAGTCCTGTCATCGGTGCCAACACGAGCAGACATTTGGTATGAGCGTAACAACCACCCCTCAAGCCAATATCATCTAGTGCTCCACTTAAGGCGACATTAGGTGGCGTCTTTAAGGGAATGTTCTACATCTGCCCGGGGTTTTGAACTAAAAAAAAAAACATTTTGAAGATCGTTCGCTGCAGTCCACAGCCCTGTCCTTTTTAAGACCTGTAACTCTCTAACTTTCGAGCTACATGTCCGCGAAGAATTCATGCTACTTGGGGCAGACTATTCCGAGGCCATGAAAGTCAACTGATTTGCAGCGCTGAGCAAGCTGTGTAAGTTTCAACCACGAATCACGTTTTCTGCTATATGACAAGAAACTGGGCATAGTTTTTAGATATGACGGAATTAAGACTTATTGTCGAATAACTCGGGAACAGCATAATAGCCGAGTATGTGAATACAAGTAAGCTTCTTAAACACACGGCTAAATACGCAAGAACATTATGCAAAAGGGTCAAAACAGGAGTGCATACCGATATTTGGCTCAGCGAACACTTCCAGCACGGCACTGCCATCTCTCGGCGAGTTTGAAGTACTAAAAGTGAGTGCAAAGATAAAAAGTTCGCACGGCTTGTTTGGTAGCATCTCAACGTCAGACAAGCCTTCCACGGCGCAATCAAATAATGTCGTATTGAGCAGCGTAGCTACTAATAAAGGAATTGTGTTGTCTAGATCGGTCGTTCCACACAACAGTACAACAATTTGTTATAACCGAGCTCAATTGATCGTATACGATGCTTTCTTTAATATCTTCAAATGTGGAACATTCCCTTTACCCTTGCTTTGATTCGCCGCTTTTGATGACGCGGACTGGTATTGGGACAACCCCCCCCCCCCTGACGTTTTGAAACTGATAAGGATAAAGGTTAGCAGAAAACACTAATGGATTGGTCTCATTGAGATCTGACGGTTGTTGCTGGGCTGTATGTTGTTAGTTCAATAACTGACCCCCCATTATGGCATGTCAAACTACGAATTTTCCAGAAAGTCACGCTTTTAAGCTTTACATACTTTAATCTAAAGCTAAAATTTATATCATACCTATGAAACAATGAATGGTGCTTACACGGATCATCAAGAGGCGTGTTTCGGGTTTAATTCTGAGTAAGGTTAGCGTTTGATTTTTAGTACTTATCTGAGTACAAAAATGGTGTATATCTTTGTGTTTTGAGCATCCATTTATGATATGTGGCTCCCTTAGTGTAGCAGTGTCAGCCCGTCGCGCGCGCTCCGTTGCCTCATCGGTGTTTGGTGTCAAAACACATGTAAAGATGCCTCATAGGCTACTGAAAATTTGGGCGCGAGTGTGCCACGTACTGGATAGGTATGCTCAAAAACACTAGGGAAGGGGGGTTGTATCAGTCCCATAGCAGGGCGAAGGTTAGACCGACATTTGGTGGCCCATTAACCTGGCATCATGATTGGCCATTCATTAAAATATCACAGTTTGCTGACGCACATCGGGCACATATTGCGTTAGACTGGAGCGATGTCGGGGAAGGTCAAAGGTGTTAAGTGCAGGTCAGCCAAGTACCCAGCGACGACACGCCGACGCTGTTCCGAGCCTTTGAGGCCGATCGCCGCTATGTTTTCCAGTTATCCGTCTAGGAACAGCCTTTGTACAGAACAGTCGCACTCCAAATTGGTCCCGGAAAGTCTGGAAACCCTGAATCGAGTCCACGACCAAGAAAGCAAGCGGATGTGGGGGGGGGGGGGAAATGTTCGAATACCTTTGTGGAAAAGAGGCTCCTTTTTTGCTTCCCAAAAGCTAGAAAATGCTCGAGCACTCAAGAATGGCTCTGTAATGAGCGTTCTATTCCTACGGTATTTCGTTTATGTCAGGTCAGGGCCCAGAACCGATGGCTTGGTGCAAGTGGCCAGGTATAAGCGCCTTATCCGTACTAGCAATACAATCCGTATCCGTAAAGGCTAATTCGTATCCGTAAGCGGCTAATTAAGCACGAGCATGTGTTTCGGCCTTACAATGCAGATGGTAGTGTTTATACCAGTGTGTCCGCCTGAAGGGATCGATAGGATCGAAGGGTACGGGGATATTTGTGAAAGCATATCCCATCGAATTCCACATCGTTGCAAATATCAGCTCGTCTGGCCCCAACATAGACGAGCAGCTAATAACGATGGTGTGGATGATGTATGCAACTACAGAACCAAGGCTAGGCTGTACCTATGAGCAGCTACACGCCTGGATCCTAAGAAGCATGCGGATTCCATGCGGTCCTGGGGAAAAAGGACCCAAGTCCAGCACCCTGGCATCCGTTTTTGGACCCAGGCACAGACCCAGGCACAAAAGCTTCATCACGACGCCGGTCCAGGAGCATAGCTAAAGGCACGTGCCATTAAGCCAAGAGGGACGGGACGCATGTAAGGCTGTGAACCACTCCGGTCATCCGCATGTATCTCCTGAACTGCACTGGCGGAACTGGCGGCACCCATTCAGCGCTTCCCCGGGCCCCGCGTCTGTGCTGGCCTCGCACGCTCGGGTGGCGGCCAGCGGCCAGCGCTCCGGGTTAGACACCGGGCGACGAGCTGTCTTCCCGCCTCCATCATAGGGCCATGCAGTGTGATTATAACGCCGATCATGACATGCCGTGACATGCTCAAAGTCTGGTCACTGGGTGTTATTCAGTTATCCGTACCAGTCACTGGCAAACATAGTCTTACTCGCGCATTCTCCTTCCGCTGTGCACATACACACAGAGTACATGGTATGTGTGCATACACGAAGTGTACACATGTACATACATATGTACACATACATGGTATGGGTACATATACACATACACACAAAGTACTACACATACACGGTACATGTTCACAATGACCGCTGGTATCGCGCATTGTAAACAGAACATGTCTCGATTGCATGACACAATCCACTCCAAAATTTACGCGCTCGTGGTTTTGAACGCTTAGCGATAGTGTTAACTTTTAAAGCCAGAAGTTGAAATGTTTTTATAAAGTTTAGCTGGCCGCACATGCAATACATGAACCTTGGCGCGAATCGGCTGCGTAAATGGTGCACCACATGGTGCACCACATGAATTCATAGCGTGTACATTGTTTACAAACTGACAAAGTTCTGAACAAAGCGGGACTGATCAGAATATTAACGCAACGGAAAGAAAGTGTATTACAAAGTTCATGTCCAACGCCGGGAACGAAAAAAGATTATTTCAGATTTCACCGTGCGGCAAACTGCAACGCCTATTATCTCCCGGCCCCCACCACTAGTTTGCATGTCGCAGAAGGATAGGTGTCAGGGGCGGTGCCGGGGATGAAAATGGGGAGGAAAAGCAACGGTTATTATTATTTGTAAGCGTCTCAACGGTGAACTTAGCATACGTTTCATCTCATTAGCAGCGTGCACCTTCCACTCGTCATTTTGCTCCGTCCCAGCGTAGAGAATAACTGCCAGGGGCATGCGCACTAATTTGTGCTGTTGGGTGAGAAAGATGTCACTAACGTCTAGCTAAAAAATGGTTGAGTGAAAACGATAGCACTTGAAAATTAGCACGTGCCAACAATCACCTTCTAAATGACGCCAGTTGGGACATGGGGACGCATGTTACCCCGTGACTAGTGCTTCCGACAGGACAAACGCACAGTAAAGTGCTCGAAAGGATTATTTGCAAAAGCGTTTTCCTGGTGAAACTGTATGGAGTGTTTGACACGATGGACAGGCTGCCTGCTATGCTTAAGAACCATTGGAATGCCACGCACGAAAATCTGAGCTGATTTGTAACGTAAGACCTAAGTTTCGTCCTGAAGAACCTTTTGCATGCTTTACAACACCTGCTACTGACCAAGGAAGTGCCATTCCCAACCGGCCAAAATGGCATGATGGTCGCACCGCACGCCGCCGTGTTCACAAAGACGGCCCGTTTCCAGGTGGAGACGCGCTTCAGTCCAGTCCCTGGACTTGCCGATGCTCCAGGAAAGCACATCTAGTGCTGTACAGGAGCAGTAGAGATCAGCGGAGTGATGAGGATGGCGTTGGTTCTCAGCAGCCCTGCTGTTTTAAAGCTGAAGAGAACGAAGTGACACTCCGAGACGGCAGTCCATCCCGCGTGAAGAGTGAAGAGCACCCGACGGTCTCTGCTGTTGACGGCGAGTCCTCGAGCCGGGAAGACGCGTCTGGTTTGCATGTGCAGATCTTAATGAGCCACAAGCCGATTATCTGTTCCGTGTGTGGGAAGTCTTTCAAAAAGAGGAGGTACCTGCTGGCACATGCCCGCACGCACAAAGCCACACAGCCCTTCAGCTGCAACATCTGCGGCAGGCTGTTTAGTCATAAGGGCGCGTGGAATATGCATGCCCTCATCCACACGGGGGAGAGGCCTTTCGTGTGCCGCGTGTGCGGAAAGGCTTTCAACCGCAAGGCGAGCGTAATCGATCACACGCGAATTCACACCGGAGAAAAGCCATTCGTGTGTGAAGCCTGTGGCAAAGCTTTCCGCACAAGTCGCGACCTGAATCATCACGTAAGGAATCACTCTGGATTGAAGCCGTTTCGCTGCGACTACTGCTGCCGCCTGTTCAGTCGCTTTGCTGATATGGTAGAGCACAGCTGCATCTACGACGGCGAGAGGCCGTTCAGATGTGGTCTTTGCGGCAAGTCTTTCCGTGACAGGCAAAGGGTCAAGTTTCACAAACGTAGCCACATGGTGGAGAAACTTTTCATTTGCGATGTTTGTGGAAAGGAGTGCAAGGACAAAAGTGTCTGGAAAGTGCATGTCCGCACTCACACGGGCGAGAGGCCGTACAGCTGCGGCACGTGCGGCAAGTTCTTCAGCACCACCAGCGCTGTTCGCAAACACAGCATCATCCACACCGCGGAGAGACCGTTCAGCTGCGACGTCTGCGGAAAATCGTTCAACCGTAAAAGCATCATGACTGTACATGCCCGCACCCACACTGGAGAGAAACCGTATACGTGCATGGTGTGCTCAAGGTCGTTCAGTACGAAAGGCACGCTGAGCATGCACGTGTTGACCCACACCGGTGAGAGACGGTACAGCTGCGTCATCTGTGCGAGGTCGTTTGCCCGGAGGTCAGTATTTCTCGAACACACCCGCACTGCCAAGCACAGAATGGGACTGCTAGCAGCGGGCGGTACAAATGATGAACAGCAGCATTAAGCAAAGAGGAATGAGGGGCCATGGCACGGACTGAGAGTGTCTGTACCTGCCATGTGTTTGTGCAGTTTCGTTGCGCCTTGCCGAATCGCTATCGCGTCCGTTCGTGGTCGTTGCGCGCATTGCCTGGTGGAAATCACCCACCCGTGCCGTTTGCTGGGAGTCGTTCAGCTATCTGCTCTGCTGGTGTAAGCCTGTGTGCACTCAGCCGTTGAAGAAGCCGTCCAGCCGCCGCGTCCCGGGGGAGTCGTCCAGCCGCAGCAGCAGCAGCCTGACTGAAGTCCGCCGCGCCCCGACGCCTGAGCTGTGCGAGTCCTGCCGGTGTCGGTTCGGCTGACGTCCCGGGCGGTGACCCGGTCCGCTCCATTCCCGGGCCCCTCCCTGATGGCGCACCCCACCACATCTGCACGGGATCCAAGGCCGAATCGAACACGGCGCCCCTGAATAAAGCTTTTGCTTAAACGATATGTTCACATCTGCATGGGCAAGCGTCATCAAGGTCGCTTAAGGTTTGCAGAACGCGGTGGGCTTCGAAAAGACGCCCAGATGATCGAGTATCTTCGACCCAGATAGTTTCAGAGACTTCTACTCGTGGTCTAATGTCCTGCGTCCACCATTACGTAACGCACCATAGCACCGCCGCACTGACAACAGCTTTTCAACATTGGCCCAATGCCCCAGTCACACCTGCCCATAACAACACTTAGATCATCTAAGCTTAGTCTATACATGTCACACCTAGCACTCACTACCATTCTAAGCAGTTCGCTTGTCTCGATGTTTTTGTCTTTATATGTTCGACCAGCGCCGTTGACAACACGCCTGTCATCAGCGTCTCTGACGGACAACGATCGTGCCGTCGTCCGTCATCCGCTGTCGGGTGACCCGGCTTTGGGTCTGGTCGGCCAATGAGTCCGGTCGGTTGCAGAGGGTCGGCGGACGTTGACGTGGGTCCGGTCGGTCCCGGAGGGTCGACTGACGTTCGGTATGGTCGGCTTCGGAGAGAGAGAGAGAGAGAGAGAGAGAGAGAGAGAGAGAGAGAGAGAGAGAGAGAGAGAGAGAGAGAGAGAGAGAGAGAGAGAGAGAGAGAGAGAGAGAGAGAGAGAGAGAGAGAGAGAGAGAGAGAGAGAGAGAGAGGAGAGAGAGAGAGAGAGAGAGAGAGAGAGAGAGAGAGAGAGAGAGAGAGAGAGAGAGAGAGAGACGGTTTGCTAAGAAAAGCATCTTCGAGTATCAACTCATATAGTTCATGTGCGCAATATCCTCCCGACCCAAATTCACCATGTGTATATGCCGATCAACGCGGTGAACATTATTTGCCTACAGCCCCTCCGAAGTGGGGTGCTACCTAGTTGATAATACATCCGCAGTTAATAAGAGTGGTTATGCGCAGGATACTTAATATGCGTAGTCGTGCGCCGCAGCAAAACGTTTGGAGTGTGCTTCCACTTCGGGTATTTCTGCTGGAGATCGCTACTCGCTGCTTTGGAAGCTGATCTTTATGCATGGGAGACCCTTGCATTTGTTTTCTTAGCCTTAGGCATAGTTTCTCTTCTGTCAGCGAGGGTTTCCATGCCCAAGCGTTGTAGCACGTGTGAGCACTTTTCCGCACGGCCGAAAATGAATTTCAAGACTCTGTTCTGCACTTTCTCAATATGTTACGCCTGCTTGACAGTGAGTCCCGGATGAAAAACCGGCGCGCAATATTCTAGCAGTGGTCGAATGTAAGTCACGTAAACTGGAACAAGCTGCTCCTGTGGTGGATGACATTTCTTTATTTTGCGGTGCATATATGGGTCTTTCGATCATTTGGTTGCAATCTCATCCACACGTGCTTGCTATGACATGCCATTTGATATTGTCATACCTATTAGCTTTGGTGGCAATTAGCAGGCTTTTTCTTGCGCCCTGGTGTGCGGTGGTGCTGATGGTTTCTTGGCTGTGAAAAAATTGCATGACTTGACACTTGTCGGTGTCATCATCACAAATGTTATCTTGTTTGCTGTTGTCCAATTACTTATTACGAGTGTGCTTTTACAGCTGGCATTGCTGATCTACTTCATCAATTATCAACAGACACTTCTGATATATGGTAAGATCGTTTATATCATTCAGTCTGTTCTTAATATCATGAGCAGCACCGTTAAGCTTATCCAGGAAGGCGACTGGGCCAACTGGGGTGCCTGCAGCGTCGCATGGCATCTTCTCCATTGACTCATGGTCCCTCTGGCATCTTGACCAGCTGCTGTCGGTCATGCAAGAATGAACATAGGCACTTTGCGTACCCGAAACGAAGTCCCATTGCGGCCGTGTTCTGGATAACCTTTGTGTGATCAATAAGGTCAAATCTCTTCTTAAGATCGTACGTAAACAAACAATCGTTTGGTTCGTTTAGCTCCGCCAACAAATTATACAACTTAATTATATAGCGTGAGGCTGAGACACCTTTCCTATTTCTGTATTGGCACTTGTCTGCCTGGCTGTTATGTCCATCAGAATTTGTGGAGCAAATTTTGCTAGAAGTCGGTGTGAGGCCTAGTTCAGGGTCGCAGATCTCCCGGCGACTTCCGCGACATTTTTCTTTCACACAGGTGTGAAAGCAGCTCGCTTTGACACCAATGACACGTACCCTTTATGCAATCACCGCTGAAAAATGTGGGTAGGTGGTACTGCCAGCTCTACAGAAAATTCGTTTAGTAGGCGCACTGGAAGTTGTCCAGTGGGTGCAGCCACATTTTTTTAATGCCGTAGCTGAAAGGAAGCTTGGCCATGGCTGTGTCTCGAATAGAATGTCGCTGGTAGGCAGATAGCAGGGAAGCTCTTCTGTGCGCAGCGGTCCATAAGTTGTGTAGATTTTTGAGAAAAAACTGATAAACTAGTTCCGCTTTTAACTCATCGTCATTGGTTTCCGCAAGACCGAGGCTCCTTGCTTTTTATTTGCATTTGGTTGGACTGGCTTCTTGCCCGTATGAACGCCCTCTATGGTCAGAAGCAATTCTTTACATTCTTCTCCTGGACCATGTCGTTTTCGCAACCGTAATTTTGAGCCCTAATTTAACTCTAGGTTTTCCGAGTATGTCCATTTGATGACGACTGTGTGCCTTATTCCACTTGGTAATCAATTGCTTCAGGTGCTTTGCTATCCACTGCGGCTCGTTCGTTTTGCATCTCTATTTAATTTCAGAGAAGTGTCTTTTCATTATCATTTTGAAGCACCAGCTCTAGTCGAGCAGCGGTCAGGTCTCTATCATTTATTGCTGTTACATATTGTCAATGGTTGCGGCAAATCCATGAGCGAAAACTTCTGATGGATCAGTCATTCAAAGGCTATTCAAAGCAATAAACTTGAGAGTTTTCTACTTCTTTTGCAGCCAACCATACTACAGTTTTGTGGTCTACCGTGACAATGGTCATAGGTTAAGTGATGCACTTGGAGAATCAAAATCAGTCAGTATCTTGTCCAGTACGGCTGAACCTCTTGTGGGCTCCCAACTATTTGCGGGAGACACAGTTGGTGAGCTAACAATTACGCCTCACGTGTTTTGTTAAAGTCTGCTATCAAGACAGCTTTTGCTCTTCGCCTTCAGGATTGAACATGATCAAGTGTTTGCAGGCGGTGGTCACAGCGCATTTGTCGGCGACAGACTCAGGCATCAGGAGGAAAGTAG